ATAATAGACAGCATCCAGGGAATGCGGGACATGTCTACACAGTGCCCCGCAGCACTCTGCTGCATTAAGAAATGAGTTTGCAATTCTGCCCAGCATCATACTACACTAGCCAATGCAGAGGAACAGACTTGGATCGTGAAGTCACACTGATGGCTCAGAGGGTTCCCCACGTCTTTAGAAAGGGGTCTGTCTGTGGGACTTAGGAGAAAGCAGTACTTTGTACACTCATTAGCATAGCACAGAATGAACCTATTGCTATGGACCGTAATACAGATCAGTCTTTCCAAACAGACTTGTATTACCAGATGTGGGAGTGCTCTGGAAGCTATCTGATAACAGAAGACTGCTCTGAGAAAGTCAGCCCACTCACTGATCCCACCATAAGACGACAGGTTTGACTGATGCGCTTGCTTTAAGAGAAATCTCAGTGCTGCATTGTAACTGCACCAGCAGCTGCAGTTTTGAGAGCCCTACACTCAAAGAAACTCTCCAAGGAGACTTGCTGTCAGCCACTTGTATGCAGACTTGCAAGGAAAAGAAACCACAGCTAGACAGTGGAAGGTGGTGGCAAATAGCAAGGCACACCACAAAAAGCCCCACAAGACTACACCCCCAAAGCAGGGTTAACATTATTCATGTTCGTATTAATCTGTCTGAAACAGATCCCGTTTAAAACCTCAGCAACCTTTTCTAAAAAACTGCTTGGGGGAAAACTATGAAGAATGCAAGTCTCTCTCAGCCCATGGCAACAAGCCCAATGGCACTAGGCAGCAAAAGAAAGTGTGCAGATTACCCAATAGAGCCTGTTGTTTATGAAGAACAGATCACAGCAGGTTAAGTGCAGCATGGAAAGGGAATGGCATTTATGCAAAATACAGCATAACAGCAAAAAGGAGAGAGCAAGTCTTCGGAACAGAAACTGGTTTTAGTCATGTCCAATTTTGCACAACAGTACGTGACCTCAGTTTTCTACAATTAATCAAATTACTCATATCAAACAAACATTCTTATGTTGTGAATAACTCAAATTTTATCTGCTTGCTTATATTACTGTGGGCAAAGTGCAGAGAGCTTTTCCCTACACAGACTGAAATATAAAGAAATAGCAATTCCAGAGCAATTCATCAGGTCTGCTCTGATTTACAGTCACCACATCATGCCTGCAATGCCACCACCTCTTCCATGCTGCACACCCATGCCGCATGTTTAGATGTGTAAGCAGTGCTAAAAAGGGATTTGATAACATGTTTGCAACACAAACTCCCAGAATAAGAGAAGCAGCACACATGGTGCATAGAAACAGTTATGAAAACCAGTGAACTGACAGGTGCCTGCTCCTCTTCATGCAGTACACAAACCCCATTATAACTAGCCATGGCTAGGAAAACTGGCCATCCAAGCAATAGAATCAGTGGCAACATTTCTTTTCAGTCTAGATTTCACAGACAACAATAAAAAAAGACAGATTATACAAGTCTTTAAGACACACAGGATGTCTCTCTAACGCAGGCTTTAAATGCAAGCCAAACCAAGGTCTTTGCCTTCAGGTGGCTCCTCCCTTTCACCCTTGTTACCACATCTGACTGTTGGGTCTCAGAGCCAGTTGCCCTGCAGGGAAGCAGGAGGAGATAAGGCAAGCATGGTCTCCCCTCTGCAGCCGCTGCCCCATGCAGCACATGCTGCCGGTCACAGAATAGCAGAGTAGCTATGTTCTCTTCACCATCCTACAGCCCCATCCAATTTGCGGTGGACCCAGCCCCAAATTCACGGTTTTGTACTGCATACAATTCCAGGAGCTGGAAAGGACAGACTTGAGCTGCTTTCAGAGGAACAGCCTCACTTAGTGCTGCTTTCAGTGTTTACCCATAGTGATTGCAATTTAGTTTCTAATCAGAGAATGATGATAAACCACAAAAGCAATAGTTCAATCTGGTTAAGACCAAGCAGGTTCTATGAACATACAGTTACCACTTCCTAATGCAGCTCCCTGGCCTGCACTGTTCATGTTTTTCACTCCTGCAAAATTTTCAAGAATTTCCAATAATCAATTAGACAAAAACCCAGATCTTTTGAAGTCTGATGGCAAGGACGACAATGTAGGCCTAAACACCTACTATGTATGCATCTACAAAAAAAGAGGCTTCGCTCAAGACCTGAAAGAAAGTCATCTACATCTTGAGTGAGTGCTATAACAATTAAGACATTTGATATTCTAAATATATGCATGCATCTTTGTTTCCCCTCTGCTCAGAATTTTTCTTCTACTCAAAATATTTCTCCAATAACAGTTACGCAGAAGGGGGGAAGTTGTTGAAAAAATTTCCATAGCCAACTCTACATACAGTGTATACCTTGAAGCGTACGCATCTGCTTAGATTCTTGTTGGGATGGGGATTCAAGGTTGAAGAGCATGGTGAGTATTTCTCCTAGAAACTTCATTGAGAGATGCTGCTCTGTTCTGGACTTCCCAACTGAGATTTTGGAGTTTGGATGGAGCAACTTTCTGGGTCCTGAACCAGAATAAACTAATAACAGTTCAGAGCTGACTTCAGCAAGGCCTCAGGGACTTCAAGAACTGGCCTACGCAGCTTCCCTGCAGAGCAGAACCCGGGGGTGCCAATTCTCTGCACAAGAGATGCAGTATCCAAACCACCTCCACCAGATGAGATCTACTAATGAGCTGCTGGAAGCAAAAACTGTTTAGACTGTTCACCAAAATTCTAATTTTTATACATCCTTTTAAAATCAAAGTTTGATTTATTTGGACCAGAAGCTAAAGGAAATATTTGTCTCAAATGCAGGTTGAAACCAGTTAGCTACCTCGGACATTGGTTTTCATTCACATCTTATGCAGGGACAATGACCTTAAATGCTGCAATATAAATGATGAAGCTGGTTCCTGAGGTATGTGGAACGTGGGGTATTTTTACAATCCAAGGAATGATACGAATTTCAGTTAATTCCAGCTACAAAGGGATCAGAGGTTTCCTTCATCATGCCAGGTAAAACAAAAGCGTTTTAGTGTTCACAGATAGGACTGAACAGAGGAAGAATGTGAACTATCGCTTGGCTGCCAGCTGAAAACACAGTTTTTGTAAGCAGTTTCATGCTGCCCCTCCACTGGCAACCCGCACTGGCCAGGGAATGTGCAGGAAAGAGGCCCAGCAACTGCTCTGCAATCCAGACACCGGTACCAACCTTCCAAATAAACCTGTCTGAAACAAAGCTTTATCAACTGCACTCTCAGTCCAGCTTATTAGGATAAAAATTTCACTTGCATCCCCTACTTTACACTCCAAGACGTTGATGGACAGCTGACAGAGACAATGGAAAGTCAGCTTTCCTTCCCCCTTTTTTCTTGAACTGTAAAGTTTAACACGGAACAGTTAGCTGGCCCACTGTGCTAGGTTTTATAAGTATTCCCCTCCAGTGCCAACATAACCCGAGCAGCTCTCAGGGTCTCAAAAATCAAATTTCAACAATTGAGAGTAGGTAGACTGCAAGAAACTGCAGCCACCTTCTCGCTTACCCCTACCTTCCCAAGACGGTCCACACTGTACACAAATATGATGCTGCTCCAAAGAAGTATGCAAAGTTGGCAGGATGGATAAAACTTTTCCCACTTCACCATTAAAAAACACAAACAAAACAAAAACACTCCCACACACCAGATAATGGGAGGGTAAGGCTGAGGGGGGGAATAAAAATTTTTGGTGGGTTATCACAAAAAAAAAATCTTTCCTCTCCCCTTCCCCCAGGCATCATAAAGTGTTTGAACCAACCCCAAAACTTTTTGTCTTTCTCATCTTTTTGAAGCCAATATTGATTATATTTTGGAATTATTTTTTTTTACCTTCAAAAGACTTTGCAAACAATAACTAATGAATCCTAAAATTTCTCTGAGGCACAAGCTCTCTAGAGCAGTGCTAGATATAGGGAGGCTAAGGCAAAAAAAGTTGTGTGATTTACTTAAGTTCACAAAGTAGAGGTCATCAGGGTTGCAGGATTTTGGCTTTTGAGGTGCGTGCCAAACTAAGCAGACATCATACCCCTCCCACCTGTTAGGAAACTGCACATGAGCCATTTTTAACACACAATTCAATTAGCACTGGGACACTACTCACTATGCTAGTGGTAACAGAACCAAGTATCATTCTTCATTTCTACCCTGCCTCGGAAAACTACTCTTCCTCTCAAAATCTCCTTCGTGAGGGCTTTCTTTTTGCCATAACTACTTCAACTTCTCTGGAATTTTGTAGGACCTTCACGAGTCCAACTATTTCTGAAGGATGCTCAGTGACGAGGACTGACTATTCATTTTTCACAGATATTAAAGGCCAACAAACCATAAGCCTCCTCTGCTACCCCTCCTGAGATAATTGCTTCTCAAGAGAAGCAGCATTATGAAAGAGTCTACAACCCCAGCACATCATTTAGTTCCAGCAAGTGAACAGTGAAGAATCAAAAACCCAAACAAAGCAGTTTCATCACCTCTCTGCCAGACCCCTAAACCATAATACAGGGAATAAAACAGGAAAGAGGAGTCTGTCACTAACAAGCACCCTGCAAATGGAAGAGGGTCAATAGACCACTCTCTTTTGCTGGGATAGATGAAGCACAGGTAACAGCAGAAGCAGCTTGGTTCACCCTGTTCTGTGTGAGCCACAGCTCCCTTTGCAGCTCATCTTCAGGGAAAAATTGACCTCCCCTGCAACTTGTTTTTGTTTCTGTGCTATACAGGAGGTTGATGCCATTTGTTTCTGTGCTACATTGGAGGTGGATGCCATTACATATGTACGTGTCTTTTACAGTATGGTGACCGATTCAAAGTTTCCAGTTGGTTAAACAAGTCCCCAGGCTTTCAACACTTTCACCTGAGTAACTGAGTCAGAGTGTGCACCCATGCTACTATCATCACTTGGCTCATGCCTTAACAGTGCGTCTCCTGCAGCCACCTGAGCTGAAGGAGCCTGGCTGAAGGAAGCCAATAGAAATTTTACCTGAGTGAATGATCCATCCTCATTGCATTCTGGAATGAAGACTGCTTCCTGGGGCTTCTTTGCCTGTTCCAGTGCTTGAGCTCTCTCTAATCGACACTTGCTTTGGCCAGCATCTACAAAGAGAAAAGCAAAACCCACTTAGATTGGAAACACCATTTGGCCTCTTCAAAACCTACCAGATGCACCACGCAGCTGCAGAGGGAAAAAACACCAAACAAACAAATATAAGGCATCAAGGACCATTACCTGCACATTAACGAGGCAGCTATAGAGTTAGCACTCATGATCCCACAGACAAATACAAACTTAGACAATCAAACCACGAGCAGTTAATGAAGAGCTGCCTAATTTCCTAGGCAATAGTTTTTATGGTCATCCAAGGGCTCTGGAAGCTTCTTCCAACAAGTGCTGGAGTACAATGTCCACACAGGACTTCCCAAAGGGAGTTGTGTTTGTGTTAATATTAACAGCCTGAAACTGGATGGCTGAGCACAAGCCAAGTAATTCGGGCCCAGAAGTGAGCAATGTGGAAGAAGGGATGGCCCCAGCAAAGCTTCTTCTCTGAGCAACTCTCCCAGCAAGATGCTAAAATAACCTGCCAGCCATCTGAATTTCCACCTTTATGTGGTTCAGATAAGGTAGATATGCCATTGCCTGTGCTTTCTGGAAACCCAGCTTCTACATCTAGTCCCAGTGCTTAGAGCCAGGTGTGCATTATACTTTCTCATATCAGTTACTCACTTTACTGCCCAGAAAAAACATTGCTCTGCAAGCAGAGCTTGAAGGGGTTAAGATCTCAGCTCTGCACTTATTTCAGATGATGGCAGCATGTAGCATGACCTTAACCCCTTCCAGGTCCACCTCACGCTTGCAGAGTGTAGACCCAGATTAGCCTAACACTGATGACTGACGGGTCAAAGAGAAGAGTTCTGCCCTCAGAGATACAGACTGACTCAGTGTTTACATTTAAAAACATGATGTCTAACAGTACTGCTGTTCAGTCTAGAAAGAGAAGAAAAACAGCAAACATCTGTTTCCATGGGACTCTGACACAGGGTCTAGCACCTTCTTCCTTTTCCCATGAATCTACTGACTGAAAGATTTTCAGGGCAGAAACTGCAAAATCTAATCATCAGAATCTTTCAGCAGCACCATAGAGAGTGATCAAGGTTGAATCCCCATTCTACCAGGCACAGAAATCATATTGGTTAACAAAAAAATTCCACTGGATCTCTGAAGATCCCATATTCTGCTTCACAGATCACATGAACTTCGACAACAGAATCACTAATACCAGCTCTGAATTAAAAAGCCAGTCTGGGTTCTCGGATCAACTGAATTCACATTGCATGGCAATAGAAGTGATTTCCATCTAACCATATCTAGGTGCAGAAACCAATGACAATGCTGTAAATAGTTTTGATAAAGACATAGACCAAAGCTTTCAAGCCGAGTACTTTATTTACACAACTGATGACTCAAGAGACTGTTTCCGGTTTGCCAACACAGTTTCATTTTAAACATATCGCATTACTCCCTAAGAATGATTTCACAAGTCATCTGAAATTACGGAAATCAAACCCTTCTCTTTGGAAAAAGTCATTATTCCTAGCAATAGTATTCAGCACAGATGCCTGTACCATAGGCACTGGGTTACAAAGCAAGAGTACCTATATCAACTCTGCCACTGACCCACTGAGCGACTACAAGTCAGTCACCTCGCTTCCCTATGACCTTGTGTCCCTTCATGATCCTATGTCACTCTCATCTTTAGACTCTGCTTTGTGGGGTGTTGGCACAATACCCTTAGCACATGGAGCTTTGACCTCAGGTGGTCATTATGAGCTATTATGAGCTTGTATAAAGAGCAAGATTGTTACTCACAGAATGAAAATACTTTCTTGAATAAAATTTACACTGAATTTAGAGAAGCAGGTGGGTTTTTTCTCTAATTAGGCATGATATAACCTCTAAGCTGGAATTTCCTTTTTTCCCCCCTGCTTGTCAAAGTGACCAGATGATCAGACCTTGCTTGCACACCTCCACTGGAGGACGGTGCTGCCAGCAGTACTGACCCTTCCAACACATGCTCGTTCTTTCAGCAGAAAAGGAAGCACTGGCAATGCTGTTAACTGGAACACCTAACTATCACCTGCAGATCTCCTATTCAAGCTTAAGAGTCTAATCTCGCTTGGCATGACATAGGACATTATTACAAAACCAGATGGTGTAGCTGCACCTTCTGTTTTATAGCTAGCTGTCTGACTAAAAACACCTTCAAGTTCTGCTTCACAAGAGACAACTAAGTAGCAAAAAATCAGCATAGATTATGCAGAACTGCACGTATAGGGACAGAAAGAGAGTTGCGAATTTCTCACGTGACAATCAAAGCACAGATTCACAAACGAAAGTGTGTTTTCTAGTCTCTCCATCTGAGGATACTGGACTGAAGACAAGCATATCTGGTTCCTCTCCTGAACATAAAACAGAAGCGTAAAGCTTTTCCACATAGCATCTACTTTAGTGCTGGCGCACTCACAACTACATGACTGAAACTGGATGCTTCACCACATTTTGTGGTATCCCCTGTAGTACAAATACTTTAGGAGCCGAGGCAGAAGGGAGACTAACTCAGATCTTTGTCCAATTTGTCTAACGAGCAGACAAACGTGCACACAATCAAGCCCTTACGGTAAGGAGAAGATAATATAAACATGTTACTGCTGAGGTGACTATGTCCCTCCTGGCAATTTTAACTGGCCTTTATAGATTGAACTCTCTACTACCACCCAGTAGACCACACTGCGTAGCACACCACCACTACACCACAGCGTTTAAGAGCTCATTGCTGTTGCAGCATCCTCTTTTGCAATTCAACCCGTGGCTCAAGTGATACCTCTTCAAAAATTGCTGATGAAGTGCAGAGAAGACAGACAATTTTTCTCCTGTTCACGAACACTCAGCCCTGATTACTTCTCCCATCCTCCCTCATTGATTTCCAAAGGTCACGTCAGTTCTTTTACAGCCTTGACTTGGAACAATCACCTATATACCATGCTGGCTGCAGAGGTGTGTGCATACCGCTATCTTTTTTGTCCGTCGTTTCACAGTTCAGTTCCAGTAAAAACAGTGCCTTTAATATCAACATTTACCAGTTTGTTTTTAAAAGGACTGTCAATCCTTCTCTTCCTCACTCCACAGGCTGGTATTTTTATAATGTTTGCATCAACATGTGATTTCACTGGGATGACTTCACCTTGCTATTTTTGCTTTGTTAATTAGAAAATGTAAAATATTACATAAGTGCCAAGTGTTAAAAAGTAGCTGCCAAATAGCTCACCCCAAATAAGATGCATTACAAATTTTACTAAAGCCTGATGGTTATGATGTAGATTCATATGCCCTATTCTGCATTTTGATTGTTTACCTGAGTGTTTCAGCACTTTTTCTTCCCTCTTCTTAAAAATGTTTTCTGGAGTATCAAATGCCAAGCTTATAAAACAGAATGGCATTAATGCATTCCAGTTTCACAGTCCAGACAGATTAAATAGGACCTTCTCCCCTCCCTTACATAAGGTGAAAAACCAAAACAGGATGACTTTTTTTAAAAGAAGAGTTGGTTAGTAATTTGACTTTAAATATCTTCAAACTTAGGACAGATTTACTGCAGCTCAGAAAGCTACCTTTTAAAGAAAATTCATTCTCGAGTTGGTAGCTGGCAACTAGGAGATTGTGAACTACAAGTGATGTTTTTGACATCTGTGGCCTAATCTGCAGAATGCAGGTGCACATAATTTTGGATTGTGCAATGAAATTGGCTAGTTACCATGGTTGATCTTATCCATGAAAAGTTTATTCAAATGAGACTACCGTATCCCTCATAATATACACAGTGCACTCCTGAATAGGCCCCAAGAATTCCAGCATCCTCTCTTCAACAGGCAGAGGCAGTTTTGACACCACGCAACATCATGGTGTAAAGACCCAAGCTATCCTAATAATACAAAGTAAAACATCTCCAGGCACCCACATAACACTAGCAGCAAATCTATACGATGCAACCACAAAAATCTAGCTTTTTAATTTTAAATCTACTTTGTTTTTATCAAAAGCTCAGAGGGCAAAAATTGATCCAAGCAGCTTTTGAACTATTTCTAGTTCCATTAGGTAACTGTCTCACACACAGGCCAGGTCCCCACCAGGCATGAAGCGGT